TGGTGGGAGGAGAGGCCTAACTCCCGCAAGCCATCCTCCAACCTCCACACGTACACCTTGGTACCCATACAATAACTAAAGCACAATTACGAAATTAAGCCTCAACTGGTCACACAGAAACACAGAAGGGGAAAAACTCCAATCTTGCACCTTTAAACTCGAAGTTACTGCTCATTTTGCAAATCTCTATTTAAACATTGAGGGAGGGTGTCTTCTTAAACTGGAATTTGCAGTGTAGCCTAGAGTGTGTCATGAGTCCTGGAGATGTGCCTGTCTCGGCTTCCTTGGCACTGAGATCATAAGCACACCCTGATTCCTTCAAAGACTCATTTTTAATGTGTATATTTTATTTTTTACATGCATCTATGTTATCTTTTTTTATGTTTAGTATATACATTCACGTGTCTCTGTTGGGTGTACGTACACATGAGCAAAGTTGCTGACAGAGTCCAAAAGAGGATGTCAGGTTCCCCTGGACCTAGAGTTATAGGTAGTTGTGAGCTGCCAGTTGTGAGTGGTGGGGACCAAACTCAGGTCTTCTTACAAGAACACTCTTAACTGCTTAAGCACTGAGCCATCTCTCTGGCCCCGCACCAGCTCCTTCTCCTGCACCCCCAGGGGTGCTGAAACTTAGACCCTCGCGCTTGCAAGGCAGGCGCTTTGTACCTAAGTCATCTCTCAGGCCGTGGTGCCAACCTTTTGATGTGGCGATAAGATGTTGTCGTCTGCAGCTACATCAGGCTGCATTCACACTCATCCTGGGGCGCATGTGGCCTCGGGCTGAAGGAACAACAGGCCTGTGAGTGTCACCTGTTCCTGCTATGAATACATGGCAGGGACATGTGGCTCACTGCATCCCCGAACCATGTTCTACCACATACTCACTATTTTAGGAAAACATCCAAAGTGAGAAGCATGGCCATGGTGTCCACTGAACACACCCAGCTTCTCACCACCATGAACACCATTAGGATGAACCCCTAAACCAAGGACTCTGTGCCACCCCCGGGCACCTGGAAACACACTTACGGACAGCAGCGGTGACTCGGGCCTAAAAGACAATGTCTCTTTCAGGGTGCACATGATCACTGGCTTGGTTCAAAATCACCCTGAAACTGCGGCACCACCGTCACCCCCAAATCTCACTTCTCTCATTCTGACTCTCAGTTGTCTCTGAGCCAACAGCAAAGAGAGGCTTTACCTTGTGAGACAGCAGTGCCATCAGCTTTCTGTCAAGCTCACCTACCTCTACAGCCTCACACTGTGGGGGCCTCCCCGCTGACCCTTGCACAGTGTGGCCACGGCCCCGCCACTTGGCGTTATTTACTATTTAAAGACCCAGAGTCACTCTCAACTCATAAATATCTGGTTGTTGTTGCTGTTGTTATCGTTGTTATCATTATTTTAATCCAAATGTAGTTTATGGCACAGGGACAGTTCTCTCACAGACAGCAAAGCCACCCTGGGCTGCTGACAGCCAGCAAGATTACTGGCCATCAAACTTGCACACTCTCTTCTCTTCCCAAATTACCATTGTTTCTTACCTTAGTGAATGTCACCATGAGGCCTGGTTTGATAGCTAGCTTTCAAATACAGCCCAGGACCACCTGCTCCGGGGTGGTGCCTACAGCGCCTTCCTATATCAATTAGCAATCAAGACATTTGATCTGGGCAGTTTGTCAGCTGAGGATTTTCACTCACGACTCTAGGCTGTGTCAAGTTGACAGTTAAAGAAAACCAGGACAGCCTGTCTCAAAGCATGAGATAGACACTGCCTGAGAAATGACACCTAAAATTATCCTCTGCCCCCACAATCAGGTTTGTGTGTGTGTGTGCGCACACCACCACCACACACACGAGATGAAATCTAGTTGGACGTCTTCAGGTTACTAAGGATTTGCCCTAAAAGAAGATTCAAGGTAAGCCATCTTAGGAACACTATCATTTCTCCTTCTCCCTTTCAGCATCCTGACTATGAGACGTGCAGACTTCCCCTATAACACGCTCGTGAGGTATACTGTCTTACCGTAGGCTGAACCAACAGGGCCAACCACCCATGGGCTAATGTCTCCACAATTGTCCAGATAAATCTTCTCTTCATAAGCTGATATATAGCAGATATAGCTTCCATTGAATTGTTAGCTCCCCATGTCAGCAGGGCAAGGCATGATAACATGGTGGAAAAGGAGGGTGAATCACTCTGTCACTTCATGGGAGGCCAACCTTGTTCCTCCTTGGGGCCATCCATGTGTGGAAAGACACTTGCTGTATCTACTGACAGCTATTCAAAGGAAGATAAGAGATGAAAAGCCAACTCTGGTGTGGCTTTCAAGTTGTAAATGTCAGTGACAGCAAGTCTGCTGCTTATGGATCTCCTCCAACACCAACCTGACAACAGCCCAAACCAGCGGCTCTGTGGGAAACTGACAGACAGCTGCTCTTTCAGTAGTCATATTTGGTAGAGCCAAGAGGCCCCCTAAGAGGGGGGTAGGGTGGTGGCAACAACTTTAGGTGGCAGAAAGACATATCCCAGGAGTCCTACATGATGCCAACACATGCACCTGTTTCATGAAGGCTGTCAAACCCACACAGTGGTGAAGAGAACAGGAGGAAGTATGGAGACTGCCATAAAAAACATAGTAAATAAAATGCATAATAGACAGTTTCATATAGCCCAGCCTTGGCTTCAAACTCACGGAGTAGCTGAGGATGACTTCGAACTCTTAATCCTTCTGCTCTCTACCTGCCCAGTCCAGGACTAAAGATATTCACCCCAAAACAGCCAATAAATACAGTAGTGGGGACTGGGCTCAGGGCTTCCTGCTTGCTAGGCAAACACTGGACCGATGAGGTTGGACTCCAGCCCAGTACTCATCACGAAGCATAAGCTATGGCATTGGAGGGCAGAGACAGAAGCAATGCACTGCCTTCCCGGAGGCCAGCCTGCTGTCCCCAGCTGCCATTCTTGATAACCTGTGGACATCACTGCCTACCAGATACCACTAAACCAGTTTCATGGAGAACAAACCCGGCAGAGAACTTGCTGAGCTGTCCAGCTCCTGCAATGACTCTCATTCTCATTAAGCAGGTTGTGGGCATTCAAAATGCTCACTGCATTTGAGATAAAAAGAAAAAAAAATCCCAGGTCCTTAGAGATTCAGGTGCCTTTGAGCTTCCAAAGGAGATACTTCCTATTTTTCTGATTTCTCCCAGAGGGACAGACTCTCAAGGTGACAGCTAGACACCACAGATAAAAGTCACATGGTCACCTGACTTTTCATTGCTATCTTAATGCTGTTACTCATATTAAGTCATTCTGAGGGCATTGCCTGGGTGGTTTTGCTCCTGTGATGTGCTCTAAGTGTGTTCAAAGACCCACATACATAAAAAATAAATAATAAGAATGAGAAATGTTTAATGCTGCATTGTTCTGGCTCCATAACCTTGACACCTGTGAAGCCTGCCATGCTCGGCTCCAAGTTTACCAAAGTAACTCTCAGGAGGAGTTGAAAGCACCACAGGGAATCCAGACAGTTGAAAGAAATACTTAGCAAACTGTTTTTTCTGCAAAACAGACTCAATATGGAAGAAAAGGAAAAGAACTCCTTTAGCAAGGGTTCCTCATATAACCAGAGTTCAAAGTAAAGGGGCTCTAACCAATCCAAAAATGGCAATCATGGCTCCGGCAGGCCATACCCTTCTCTCCATTCCCTCTGCCTTGCTAAAAATTATTAGATTACATTCCTAAAGCTAGTCACCAAGGTCTAGACCCTTTCTTGTCCACTTCCTCCTGAGACTGACTACCAAAGTCTAGCTATAAAGTATTGCAGCTATCAAAGTACTGAAGTCTAGCAATAAAAAGCCACTGTTGGCTCATGTGACTAATATGCCCAATCAAACTTAGACACCTCATTCTAACATGGGGATTTCCCCCCTATACCTTTACAAACTGCCATTTTCCTCTGTGCCACCCCTGTCTCCTCTCTATGCAGAGACAGTCCTTTGTCCCACTCAGGGACAAATATCTCTTCCCCCTCCCCCCTTGTTCCCTTTACCTTTTCCCTCATCCTCTATCTCCTGGCTATCTCTTATTCCCTGCCCTTTGTCCCTCTGGGGCAAATAAATCTCCTTTGTGTGAGAACTTGGTCTTGGAGATCATGTTCCAGAGTTGGTTTGACTATTCTGTGTGCGAGCACATATGGGTATATTCTATCGTTCTGTGTGGGACAGGTGTGCAGTGTGAGCATTTGTATGGTGGGGTACATGAGCCCATCTGGACACCAGAAGACCAGGTGCCTGACGCCCTTGTAAGTGACCTGCTCTATCGTTCTCTGCTTATTCTCTCGAGACAGGATCTCTCACTGGACCTAATGGTAGATGGGCTCCAGTTGGCCAATTTTTGCACAATTAGCTTGACAGCTCTATTCTACTCTATAACTTCACTAGTGGCCAGAGATGTCCCCTCTGGATTAGAGGTGGCTAGGGGACACCCACAGGCCTCTGGAACCATAGTATCTCTATTTGATTTTGTTTTATGCTATTGTGCTTTGGTTTGTTTGTACGTATGTGACGTGTTTGTGTTTGATGTATGTGCATGCATGTGTATTTCTTTTTGAGACAGGACTTCATATGGCCCAGGCTGCCCTCAAACTCTGTACGTAGCCAAAATATGGACTGAACTTCTGATCCGCCCACCTCCCCATTCTGAGTGATAGGATTAAGGGCACACAGTAACCACTGCATGGGATTTCATGCAGTTCGAGGAGTGAAACCCATGGTTTTGTGAATGCTCAGGAAGCGCTCTGTTAACCTGGCTCCATCCCCAGTCCAATATCTGGTGTTTTTTTTTGTTTTTGTTGTTTTTTTTTTTTTTTTTTTTTTTTTGGTGTTTCTAAAAGATAACAGCCAGTGCAAATTCTTGGTCCTCTCTCTCTTCCAAGGGCAAACACTGTGACCTCTGTGCTCAGGCAGGATGCAGATTTGCTAACTGCAGTACTTACATGGTCTAACGGACCCTCCTCCAAGTCCACGTTCTGGTAAGAGTCACTCCTGGAAGAAAAAGGCAAAAGCAGCTTTAAGTTCCTCTGTCAAAAGACAGGCGACACTCCGTGGATAGGCTGTCAAGGAGCCTGTCTGACCTCCTTTTCTGACCTTTGGAACTCAGATGCCTAAAAGGAAGAAGCTCTTCTCCCCAGAAACATCAAAACACTGGGTTAAGAGACAGCTCAGTGGGCAAAGAGCATTCCTTACAAGCCTGAGGACCCACCTGAGGACCCACCTTCCACCCCAGAACCCATGGCAAAGCCAGGAGTGATGGTGGACACTTCTAATCCCAGGTATGGCACAGATGGGAGATGGAGACAGGCGGATCCCCAGAGCTTGCCAGATGGCCATCCCAGGCTATTGGATAAAGTTCCAGGCCAGCAAAAGCCTCTGTCTCAAAGAATGGCGGACGGTGTTTGGGTGCGGCAGAAGCAAAGCCACTCTTAGTAAAAGCTACACACCAAGTCTCAGCAGGCACGACGGCTCTCCACCACCTCCAACACTCCCCTGCCCAGAGCACATTACCACACAAGGTTCTAAGCACACACAAACAAACTCAAAACACGTCTGCCGGAGCAGATAAAGACAACCCAATTCTAAGCCTGCTCCTTCAAACAGAAGGTATTACTTGTAGCTGCTTCATCTGCAGCATTAAAAAAATGTTCTTTCTGGAGACTGGAGAGATGGCTCACTGATTAGTAGAGGTGTCCGCTCTTCCAGAGGACCTGAATTCCACTACCATCACCCACATCAGGCAGCTCACACCCACCAGTAACTCCAGCTCAGGTTGATCTGACAACCCTCTTCTGGCCTCCTCAGGTGCTGCACTCACCTGCACAAACCACACAAAGGCACACACACATATACATGCTTTGTAGATGAAAGGAGTAAGTCCATCTTAGAAATGTGTATAGTATACACCGCATGCCTCGGATTTGGCTCACATTTTCCCTTTGTAAACAAAAATTCTAAGGAGTCCCTGGGAGGATACAGCTCAGTGAAGTGCAAGCAAGGAGCCCTGTGATGGATCCCCAGCATGCGTGAAATGAGCTGGTGGTGAGCACCACAAACCCAGCTATAAACTCTGACGGGAGAGACAGGGGGTCAGAAGTCCATGGTCATCCTCAGCTGCAAGGGGAATCTGAGACTAACCTGGGCTACCTGAGGCCCTGATACCCTCCCAAAAAAATCAGGTGGGAGGATGAAAACACGTCTCTATAACACATACTCTGTCTCCGTCTGTCTTCCTCTCTGTCGCTCTGACTCTGTCTCTCTCTGTCTCTCTCTCTCTCTCACACACACACACACAAAATAAATAAATAAAACTGGTTCTGATATCCAAGAGACATCTCCTCAGAGACTTATAAAACAGCTGAGGCCCTCTCTAGGAGGGAAAGGAAAGATCTGACCTTGTCGCCACACACACTCAAATCACTGGTTAAGTCTTCTAAAGCTAACTAACTAGTCTTTATTCTTAAAGACTTCATGGAAATGTATGCTATAAAATAGCTTGGTTATTTTTTTTTTATCCACACGGGGGCAAGTTCCTCTTTCTAAGAACTGTGACATAGAACCCTTCACAGTGTCACCATTGCCTTCCCTGTGAGCGAGCTCTAAGCAATACCAGAGGAGGGGTGGAGGCACCTGGGTGCAGGCCCAAACTGCCACGGTTCCAGATCCCCTGCCGGAAGCCGTCAGGGCTTCCTTGGGCAGGCCGAGTCCATGCCAATGACTGCTAGGACCCTTTTCAGATGAGCCTGTATCTGTGATAGGTCTGAGTGAGGTAAAGGAGTGGATTCTGAGATAAGATTACAATAAGGAACAAAGTCATTAACTCTAGTAACTCCAGTTGCCAAGACGTGTGGGGAGGTGAGGGGCATCGGCGCTGTCCGTGTGCTCGTGTACACACGTGCCTATGTGTGCAGAGCAGGGGATAGTGGACAATCTCTCTCCTCGTTATGTTTTAACATTTGGTTTTAGTTTATGTTTATGAGTGCTTTGTCTGTGTGGATACAGGTAGACCACATGCATGCTTGGTACTGGAGGCCAGAAGAGGATACTGGATCCCCTGGAGCTGGAATTACAGTTGCTTGTGGGCCCCTCTCCAGGTGCGAGGAATCAAACCCAGGTCCTCTGCACGAGCAGTGAGTGATCTGAACCACTGAGCCACCTCCCTTACGTTTTGAAGCAGGGTTTCTTATTAAACCAAACACCAACTCGGCTAGGCTGGCCAGCCAATGAACTCCAGGGGTCCTCCTGTCTGCGTCCCCCAATGCTAGGGTGACAGACACGTGTCGCTGCACCTGACTTTTTATGTGGGGTCCAAACCTGAATTCCCATGGTTAAGCGGCAAGCCCCTTAAGGACTGAGCCATTTTCCTAGCCCCTAGAGTTACTAAATTTTCTAGAGACAATTCCTCAACATTTTGTTCTTCATCAAAATTATGTCACATGAGGAGTCCTGTAGGTCAACAACTTATGAATCACATCAATGGTAAAACTATCCAATTCAAAGAAATGTGAGTGACATACACAGACACAGTTTTAAAAATCTGTTTGATTTTTGATTACGTGTGTGTGTGTGTGTGTGTGTGGGTATGCGCACCATATGCATGCTGGTACCCACAGAGGCCAGAAGGGGGCATCAGATTCCCCAAATCTGGGGTGACACTGAATGTGGGTGCTTAACAAGTACAGCTGCTGACCACTATGCCATCCCTGCAACCCCGACAGTCGTTCTTTAACCCTTCACCTCCCCAAGCTTGCAAGCCCTGATTACTCTTCTAAAGCAGCATCCACATAGTTAAGAGACACCTTGAATATCCCACAAGCCACTTCCCCAACCATGGAAGGAACATGGGCTATGGGATTTACAAAGCCTGTGGTGGGGGAGAAGCTAAAGGGCTGTTTGCTTTTACCCTCGGCAACGCTTTACCAGTCAGGCAATCCTAACTCCCATTCCCTGCAGAGCCGAGTGTACAGCGGTGACCTTTGCACACCCAGCTCCTCTGACGACTGAGCTCCATTGGCCCTGGATTCTCCTGCTTCGCGAGTACACCTAAACTCTAAAAGCATTCCCGGAGGTCATTCGGTGATGTCTTGCAGCCATTCCTAGCTCTGTCTGTAAAGAAGATGAAGGAAGAGGTCGTTTCCCCTTCTTAAGTTTCAAACTGTTGCATAGTTTCTATCAAGCCGGCACCCACAGGCACGCACCCTCCATTTCCTCTTGGGCTTATGCACTGATTTACCACACACACACGGTCTCCTGGAGCTCAGGCTGGCCTCAAACGCCATACACAGCCGAGAATAACCTTCAACTTCTGATTCTCCTGCCTCCACCTCCAGAGCGCAGTACCACCTGATGCATGAAGTGCTGGGGAGAATCCGAGGCTTTATGCATGAGAGGCAAGTGCTCCACCAACTGAGCTCTGTCCCCAGTCCTGGTGCTCCCTCTTCCTTAATTACAGCTAAACTCTGACCGCATTAGCAGGTCATCAGAGTACGGCTTAACCCTGAAAGAAGAGTGATGGCAGAGACAACACAGCAAGACTGAAATCTCATGTTTAAGCAAAATTTCTCTTTCGTTTTCCACTTTGCATAGAGACATCGTAAACAACCTACCAACCAAATAGCCCACCTGGGAGTGGAGTGCTCAGTGGCAAGTCTGCACCTGGCTTCTTGTCCCCTGCCAGCCGCACCCAGAGTAGCTCACAGGTGCACCATCACGAACCAAGCAAAGCACCTGACACCCAGATGTGCTGGGCACTGTGCCCCTTCCACATACATGTCCCCAGTCCTTCCTACACTATGTCCAGGACCGTCTTCATCATCTCAAGCCTAAACACATTACCCCCAGCCCACCTACGCTGTCCACAGGCTATGCTGCATGATCTCCAGGGCCCTTATAAACCATCCCCCAGGCTATCTATCCCATTCTCAGGTCTACCAATGCCATCTCTGCTCAGGATCCGATGGCACAGGATGATGGAAGCTGGTTCCAGAACCCTGGGTCTCCCTTCCCCTGACCCTTCATCTGCTCAGGGTTTACACTCAAGCAGCATTTGCTCTTATTCCCTAGGGGTGACCTTCCTCCCAGGTCAGATGTGACACAGCACAGGCTCCTCCTTCCTGCTCTACTTCAACACCAAGGACAGGGGTGGCCACCCAGAAACACCAAAGCTGCCATGTGTGTTCATTCAGTAGGTAAAGGGAGTCTGTGGCTCTACCTTCCTGCCTAGAAAGACCTCAGGCAGTAACAGCACAAAGCACCCACGGAGAGCCAATTACAGACATGTGTGAGTGGTCACTCAATCATCCTTTTCAAGGGTCAGGTGGTCTTCCAATCTACAGTGGATGGGAAAGCTGGGGTCACCACACGGCAGTGTGCAAATACTTGTGGAAGTCTAAGAAGAGCCTCAGGTTATTGTTCCTCGGAATCCTGTCAACCTCGGATTTTTGACAGGGTCTCTTCTCTCACTGTCCGAAAGTCACCAGGTAGACTGGGCTGGCTGGCCAGCAAGCCCCAAACCTCCCCAGCTCAGGCTTACACCACCACACCTGGCTCAAGAAGTCCTTGCCACCAAGTCAATTTCCGGTGTTTGCTTAACGTCAAAACCGATAACATCTTCCCTTTTCAACGGGGTTTTTCACCAAGTTTCTATAGAATCTATTCCAAAATATGGCAGAATTGAAATCTGGGCCCAAGTACAATCTCAACTCCCGTAACCTAGTCGAGAACACCAAGGTGACTGCACAGCTCTGCTTTCTGAGGTCTGGGACAAAGGTCACCACAGGGCCTGGCTAAGAGAGCAGAGCTGCCTGAGCCAAAGCTTCAGAAGCATAGGTCCCGGCTTCAGAGTCCTTGAGCCCTCTCCAGACACTGGCAAGCACTGTGGCCATGGCTGCTGCTGCTGCTTTAATGGGATAATAAATTCATACGACCATAAAAAAGTAGTTCTAGAATAGTGCCTCCATCTCTCAAGTGTATTTACAGGTGTATGCCACCGT